GGAGCCCTGCAATCCCCACGGAATATCCCAGGACAGGGCCCGTCGGACGCTCCCGGCTGCGCTTACCGGCGATTTCAAACTCGTCAGGCAGCTCCATGCTCAGCTTCTCCATGGCGATGTCCGAGATGGGCCCCAGGATCACGACTGGCCGCCTGAAGCTGGCTGCGGGGAGAGGAGAGTTCAGCGAGCCGGGCACCACGTGGGACACGAGATCTGACTGAAACGCTGCAAGCCTCGGGCAGGCCCCCCGCCCCGGTGCCACCGCGACCTGTAACGGGCAGGGACGGGCCCTCTGCCTCCCAGGCTGGGCGTAGATGGGCCCAGGGGATGGCTGCGAGCGGCAGGACCAGAGATGCCAGAGGCCTCAGGCTGTCGGAGTGTCCAGCTTCTCAGCATTCGCCACGGCTGCAGGGTCAGCCCAGCGTGCTCCCCGCTACCGCCTGTGCCACTGCCGCTTCCACGTGATCCCTGCCTAGGCTGCCAGGTCTCAGCCTGTGGGAGGGGCCCGGCTCCGGCGGGCTGGCGGGGCTGACTGGAACGCCCGAGGGGTGAGCGACCGGCCCTCGGTTAGCCGGGGGGAGGAAGAATCGGCAGCCTCATCCCTAGGCCCAGAGTCAGGCAGCTCAGCTTGGCTTTTGAGGAAGCTTCCCAGCCTGTTTGTCTGGCCACTGGGTAGCAGGTCCCACGAAGATACCAACCCTGCCCCCCGGCCATTGCAAAGGGCAAGGCACGGTGAGGAGCAGGCCCCAAGTGCACTCCAGGCAGGGGACCCCCCATCTCAGCAGAGAGCAGGCGTGCAAAGCAGCTACCCATGCACGGGCAGGGCCTGGGGCAACGCCTCCCAGGGGACAGCCCAGCCCAGTGGGCCACCAGGGAGTGCAGGGCCCCCCTCACATGGACAGGCCAGCAGCAGCCAGCCTCCTGGGCCAGGGCACAGGCCAATCGCTCCCGCCCCCAGGCCTGAAGGATCAGCCCCCCAGCACCGCTCCCCTGAACTGGTGGCCACGCCCACCTTCCCGCAGCACCACCCTCTCGTAGGGTGGATAGTGGCCCTGCTTGGTGAGAGCCGACAGGTCCTCGCGGCTCTTCCGCAGGTTCTTCTTGGCCCCCCGCAGGCCCCGCAGCTTCCAGAACTCGGCCCGGGCCCCGGAGGAGCTGGCGACGGAGGTGGCCTTCAGGACGGACTCCAAGCTGGCGAACTGCTCAGCCCTGCACCAGGGGGGGAGGCAGTGTCAGCATCGAGAGCCCCAAAGCATCGCGGGGCGCCCCCGAACCAACCACCTCACTGTCCCTGCTCCGGCACAGCCAGCGTGCCCCACGGTCCAGTGCTGACGAGCGTTTCCAGCACCGCGACCAGGGCGCCTGGGATCCCCTCCAGGGGCCGATACCAACTCACCTCCTCCCTTGGTGCCCCCCTTTGCCGGGAGGGGCTGGCGAGCAGCAGACACTGCGAGCACTCAGTATGGTTATCCCAGGAGCCATGCCGGGGGCAGAGAGACGCTCTAAGCCGCAGAGCCCCGTGCAGCGAGACCCAGGGTGCATTTCCTTGCAGGGCACACGGCCTGGGTCACTGGATTTCCGCCTCGGCACGACAGGAGCAATGGCCCAGCAGTGCTAGGGCGCAAGTCCTGCCCCTTCTAACCTTGCAGGCGTGGCAGGAGGGTGCTGTGCCGCAGCTCCGTCAATCCTAGGGCATCAGGCTGCCCTGCAAACAACCCCCACTGCCTCCCAGGAAGAAACCATTGTCCCCGTTTCACAGCTGGGTAAACGGAGGCAGAGAGCTGGAACGTGACCACTTTGTGGCAGAGCCAAGATTCCCAGGGCTACCACTGGACTATGCTTCCTCCAAGGAGGCCATGCAGGGACAGAGCTTCCTCTCTCTGCCCCAGAGGAGCACGGGCCTCCCTCCACGGTAGGGTGGGTGGCCGGCATTACACTGAGGCAGAGCAGCTCAGGACAGCATATGTGGGGCTGGCGGGTTCTTGGCCCCAAAGCAGCCACCTGCCCAGGCCCTGCCTGCTGGCCCGGCTGCTCTGTCGCTGCCCAGGGCAGAAAGCTGGATTGACGACTGCCCGCCATGGGAGCGTCATGGGCCCCTCAATGGGCTCTCGGCTGCAGGTGCCTCGGAGTGGGGAGGTTATTGCAATCCACACTGGAGGACGTCCCCCCACACTCCCTTAGTGGCTCCGGTGCCCTTAGCTCAGCCCCAGCTCCCAGGGCTCAGTGCCCCCGCTCTGAGACTCGTGCCAAGGGCCCGGTCCCCCCGGCCTGCCCTACCTGCTCCTGTTGGGGATGATTCCCTTGTCCAGTTCCTGCAGGTCCCTGCCCATGCGCACGGCCAGCCAGCTGCCCAGCTTGCCACGGTACATGGTGTCCAGCACGTGGAAGACCTCGCCCCGCGTGAAGCTCAGCCCGGAGGGAGCGTCCTTCTCGAAGTCGAAGTGCGTGCGGATGTGGAACGAGTCCCCCACGTTGGACTTGAGCATCTTCCTGTAGACTGGGAAGGCCAAGACAGGGCCCGTCAGGGCAAGGTGGCCAGGAGAGGAGGGGGCATTTGGGGGCCAGCACACAGGGAAGATGGAGGAGAGACGGGCCGGCTGCATTTGTGCAGCACCTTTTACTGCCCAGGTCTCAAAACCCCTGTGGAGAACAAGGGACCGTCTGCGTAGAGGGAACAGAGTCCCCCAGCGTGGCTCATGAAAACCGGGAGCAATCAGCAACACAACCGAGCTGGAAGGAAGATGGACCCCTCGCAACCATGGAAACTCTGGGAGCGTGAGCTCAGCGTCCAGGGAGATGGGCAGAGCCCAGGCCAGAGCAGTGGGTGGGACGGATGCCCCCCCACCATGAATGAAGGTCGGGGAGCAGGAGCGTGCAGGGCAGCAACCCCAATATAGGTCACGTTGGAAACAAAAGCGAGTGGCTGGACGAAGCAGGAGGCCGCTCTGGTTGGGAGGTACAGGCTAGATGGGGGAGTGGGACCCCGTAGAGAGATCGGGCACCAAGAGCCTGGACTAGATCCCAGGCCTGGATTCAACCCAAGACAGCGATCTGCCATAGGGACATGCGGCTTCCCTTTGGGTCTCCCTACCGGTGCGAGTGTAGCTACACCAGCCCCACCCCTCGGTCCAGATGGCTGTCCTGGTGTCACACGGGTGCCAGTCCTGTAGGACGCTGGTGCAGCCCATCTGCACTGGAGGCTGGCACTGATGTAGCGTCCCCGGCATAGTGGCTTGCGGTGTAGAGTTTGGAGTGGGTGTTGCAGCACCTGAGGGTTTCTCTGGGATGCGGTCGAGAGCTGGGTTAACTCCCACCCACCTGCGCTCAGTGCAACAGGGGATGTGCCTGGGCCCGTCCAGCACAGCTGGGATCATGGGCACTCCAGGGGAGCCCAAGTTCCGGGAAGTCCCAGGCTGGTCTCGTCTCTTGCCCAGCTTCCCAGGGGAAAGGGGAGGAAACACGTGTGGGCAGAATAACGACGGGCTCCCAAGGGACAGACGTGGGTGCCCATTGGCAGTTCAGCCACAGGCAAGGACCAGCCAGAGCCTGGAGCGGGACCTTAACACCCGAGCCCCAGCACCCTGCAGCTGCAGATTGGAGGCCAGTTGGTCACTTACTGTCCTGCTTGCCCTGGGTCAGCAGAACGACCTCCTCGCCCGGCGGCAGGGACAGCAGGTACTGCACGGCGTCCTCTCGTGTCAGGCTCTGGAAGCTGGTATCGTTCACCTGCCAGAGAGGAACGGGCCATAGCGCCGGCGTCCCCCGTCCATACAAGGGCGGGAGCAGCACACGGCCAGGGGAAGGGCCTGCACGGGGACGGCGCTCAGGCACCGCAGGGCCAGGCTAGTGCAGGGCTAGTGGCCGGAGCTGAGGCCCAGAGTGAGGATTCCCAGCTCCGTGACCTTGGTGCTTACGATTCCCTGTCGGTCACACTGACCGCACGAGGGGGTTCAGAGGGACGTGCCTGGAGATCCCTGCCTGGAAGGTGCTAGAGGGAGACGGTGGAGCCTATGTAGTCTGTGTTCTGGGTCCCCCTCTAGGCCAACCCACGGAGGAGGAGCCGTTACAGGGCCAAGGCTCCATCGCGCCAGTTGTAGGGGCTTGTGTTTTTAGCTCTGGGAGCTCCCCGGTTCAAGCCCTGGGCTGCCAGCTGAGATGGCGGCCGCTGCACACTAACCCGGGGACACTTCAAGGAGAGCGGGGGGCCCGGATGCCTCGGGGAAGAGCACGGACGTGCTCCGGGTATTCTAGACATGCAACGGGTGGCACTTTCGCACTGCAGGACGGCCAGAGGGTGTGACCGCTCCTGGGCGAGCCCCTGGAAGTGTTCACAGCAGGAGATGAACGCTCCTGGCCGGGGCAGGGCTAGACTAGAGGTTGGGAGAAGCATTTCCAAGGTCATCTCCCAGGATTAGCTTCCAGCAGGGTGGCTCCTGGCACTCCATTCGTGGGTGACTCTCCACACAGGACGAGGCCCCTTAGCGGGGGTGCAGGGCTGCTGGGAGCCAGGGGGTTTGGGAGGCTAGAGACGGTCACAGGACGTCCCAGCCCATAGGGAGCTGAGCCAGGAAACAATCCCAGGATTTTGGGCTCCCCTGCACTTCCCAAGAACAGTAAGAGCCGCACTGGACGAGGACCCCGCTTTGCGCAGGGAGGGTCGGGGATGCAGCAGCACTTTCATTCCAGACACTCTCCCTCCCCTGCCCCCTTGTTTGCAGTGGTACCTGCAGAACCTGGTCCCCTTCTTTGATCCCCTGGCCGGCCGCAGGGCTCCCCTCCTGCACGCCTGCCACAAAGATGCCCACGTCATTGCCACCAGCCAGCCGCAGCCCGATGCTCTTGGCCTTCACAAAGCGCACGATCTTGGCGTCCGGGCTGTACCTGCAACCAGGAAGAACCGCAGCGTGAGCTTGGAGCAGCGGAGTCAGTGCTGCCATCGGAGCAGACAGGTGCCAGCAGCTCATCGTCCCCAGCCAGCATGGGAGGGCTCACGGGCACTTCACCACCCCTCAGCTCCTCCTACTTGCCCTGCTCCGCGCTGGCTCCATCGCGGCCCCATGAGCTCACCCCCTGCCGAGAGCCCTCCTCTTTGGCTTCAGAGCTCTTCTTAAACCCAGCTATTTCCCATTGCCCCCTCCCCCTGCCAGCCCTCTGCTGTGCGGCTTCTCCCCAGGCTCGCTCAGGACTGCGTCTGGGCAGCGCCCTGTTCTGTCTGCACAGCCCCGTGCACCTCCGCCATACCCGCGCCTAGACACGGCTCCCTTCCCCAGCTAGCCCAGGGAGCACATGGCAGCAGCTTACCCATCCTCCTCGCTGGCTCTGGCTGCGAGGTGGCCACTCTCCTCAGCGGGCTCCTGGGGATCTGAAGTGGGAGAGGGTGGGGTAAGGTGGAGCTGCTTTGAGGGCTGCAGGAGGGACTTTGCTGGGGCAGGGGGGTTGGAAACAGGGAGTTTGACTGCCTGGGTGTGGTGTGTGGTTCAGTGCTCCAGAGATGGCTTATGAAGATGGGGACATCCATGCTGCTGACCTCAGAGCTACAGGCAGCACAGCCAGAGAGCAGCGCGCCCTTCTGCAGGGGCTCGAGAGCAAAGGACGCTGCAGGGGGAGAGACGCACGGGGGCCATCAGAGCGCCCGAGACTACACAAGGCTGCTGCCAGAACAGAGCAGCTTGCCCGGCCTGGCTGGGAGCTCTGCCCACAGTGTCTGTGCCATGCCCTGGAGAGGCCTCCTCTCCAGACAAGCGAGGAGATCAGTTTCCAGGGCCCCACTCAGTCCTGGCCCCGCCACTTGGCTGGACAGCCAGACTTCCAGCGACTCCTACCCATGCTGGTGGTTCCTGCCATGAAGACACCTGAACGCCAGGAACCAGATGGACACATCAGCCCATTCCCAACACGCAATCGGTCACTACCCTGCTGGGCGGGGCGGGGCGGGGCGGGGATGAGACTGCCCAGCCCCAGTCTCCAGAGCAGGACAGGCTGGACTCAGCCTCGAGGCTCCCTGCCTAGCCCGGAGGAGACCCAATTGCCAGGACTCACCTGGGACAGAAGCATCGTTCTCCTGTACCGTCGCTGCCGGCTCCCTGCTGAGCTGTCTCCCCTCCCTAGAGCAAAAAGAGATGTGAGAGTTAAGCAGGACTGTTGCTGCTCCTCCGTTTGTGGGACAGGGCACTTCACCACCACAAACGAGAGCTTTGTCTGAAGGAGCCAGGGTCGGCCTCAGCTTCTACCCGCCCTGCTCCGCGCTGGCTCCATCGCGGCCCCATGAGCTCAGGGAAGGGGGCTCTGGTCCCATTCAGAGAGCCCTTTCCCGCAGCCCCTTGCCTGAGAGAGCTCGGCTGGAGGCACAGGGACATCCTGGGACTCGCACGCATTGGGCTGCCCCTGCCTGGTTTGGCCCTGCTCCTGGAGCTCCCCTTCATGCCGCAGCAAGTGCACGGGAGGCGGGGGGAACAGAGGTGAGGGGCTGGAGACGCTCAGTGGAGCTGCCAGCTGGAGGAGTGTGCTGCAGCTGGGCTGCCTGCAGTGCTTGTGGGGTTAGGGCCCCATTGTACTGGAATGCGTTACCTAGGGAGGTGGTGGAATCTCCTTCATTGGAGGTTTTTAAGGTCAGGCTTGACAAAGCCCTGGCTGGGCGGATTTAGTTGGGGATTGGTCCTGCTTTGAGCAGGGGGTGGGACTAGATGACCTCCTCAGGTCCCTTCCAACCCTGATATTCTATGATTCTACTGGGCATGGCACACTGTGCATGCGAGCACACTGCACGTGCACACACTGTGCACTGCACATGCACACACACTCCCTGCTCCAGGAAGCGTGCAGTCTATGCAGCAGGGTCTGGCTCTTGACCAGCAGGCAGCCCACTCTGCCAGGCTGCCGTCCCCCGGTAAGTGCTGTTCTCTGGGGTGCAGGCCCTGCTCGGCTCTGCAGGGGAGAACTCTGATGGCTCACAGCACCCAGGCTCCTCTCTGACAAGCCACAGACCAGCTGCCGGCTGGATCAGGCAGGGAGATGCCCATGCTGCCCCTGCCTTCTCCTCCCACCTATCATCACCTGCCTCGCTCTGAGCCCACACAGAGCCGCCCATAGCAGGCTCCAGCAGGCACCTGCTCCAGCCCCTCCCTCATCCACCAAGGAGCCCTTAGAGAGGCGCCATCCCCAGGGCTGTCCTGGCAGGGGAGAGAACAGTGACTGCCAAGCAGTGTAATGCCCCGTGGGGCAGATGGCCCCGGGCTGCCGTTCTCTGGTGCCGTGAAGGCAGAGGCTCCTGACGGTTACGCTATGGGACCCAACTAACAGACTCCCTGGGAACTCCGTGTAGGCTGCTCCAGCTGGAGCGGGAACATTGCCTAGGAAACTGGGTGAGGTTTGCGGTGCAGGTCAAAGATGGGGAGGTCGCCTTTAAACTAAACTCAGGGCCCAGCTGCACATAATGGCGCCACTCAGCACTGGCTCCTGGGCACGGCGAGGACTCGTACACACGTCATTCATGTTACAGAGGGGAGAGGGGGACAGGCAGAGAGCAGCCACCGAGCCAATCAGCGGCAGAGCCGTGTCGATCCACAACCCCAAACCGGGGCTGTCTCTCAGGGGTCTGACGGTGCCTCAGGACAAGCCGGCTGCTGGGGAACACAGCCGGGGCAGAGGGGGAGTGGCCCCTCCGCCTGGGGTGGCACTGCGAGGGTCTGATGACTCGAAGGGGGACGGGGTCGGGGGGGGAAGAGGAAGAGACAAGTGGCTTACGATAGCGAGTTCGTCCTGGAGGCCTCAGGGGCCCGCTGGGGGCTTTGTGCTGGGGGCGGGTGGGACAGTTCGGAGCCAATGTCGGAGATGTCTAGAGCACAAAGGGGGGAGAGAAGACAGCACAGTAGAGCCAGGCACGCCAGCGCACAGGTTCATTTCCCTCCTCAGCTCTATGGCAGTGGCAGGCGCGTGACCCGCTGAGTGATTGGGGGCTGGGGAAGGACTGGAGGACTCTTGCTGTCTGATGCAGTGAGACAACAACGGCTTGGAGGCAACAGACCAAGTATTCAGAGCCCATGGCCCTGCCGTTCGCTCGAGAACACCGGCGAGTCTGCCACGTGCTGCTCCACGGCTGACCTCCCTAGACGCCCAGTGGCAGCGCCTGGCTTCTCCCTCCAGCTTGCCCAGCACGGCTGCAGCTACTCAAGGAGCAGATCTGGCACAAACCCAGCCCTCGCCGGACTGGTGTGCACCGAGCACATAGGCCGTGCCACCGGAGGACTCTGCCTTTTGCAGAGGCTCCCAAACAGTAATTACCCCGCAGAGTCCAACCCCCTGAGCACCATGGCAATTAGGTCACCGTGACCTTTGAATTCAGACAGCAACTAGATACTCGCTGCTGCCCTGGTGTGTTCTCCCCCCTCCCCAGCACTGAACATGGCACTGCCACGCCGCCTGTACCCAAGTCAGCCAGAGAACACGGTGTCCTGGCTCCTTCCACCTGGAGGCTCCCCCGGGCCCCCATGACTCCGCTCACCGTCCAGCCGCGAGCTGTCGCTGTCGCTGTCCCTCACTTGGGGGATGTTGACCAGGAACTGCCGGTTGTCCCGGAACACGAGCAGCCTCAGCGTCCCCTCTGACCTTTCAATCAGCCTGCGGGTGTCAGCCAGAGACATGTTCTCGCTGGTGACACCATTAATCTAGCCAGAGAGAGGGGGCGGAGGATTACAGAGCTGCCTGCCAAGTACCATGCTCTGGGGGAGGCTGCAGCCTTCCCTGGGGCTGGGCACAGCTGAGAGCAGGGGGGTAGCGAAAACGGGGCCTATAGACCAGAGTAAGTCCAGATCCGCCACCCCCCCCCCCCCCCCCCCCCCCCCCCGCTAATCTAGGGATCCACGCTGGGGAGTGCAGCGCTGAGTCAGTCACACTCCCACATGCCAGCCAGTGGGTCTCATATCAGAGCGCCCAACGGGAGGGGTGGGACTGTTGATTTAACGGGCAGGGACAAGGCTGGCTCTGGTCCCCATAGCTACCCTGCTGCAATCAGGGAAAGACATTCCTTTGGACAATGCAGGCAGGTATGAAGCCCAGCGAGTCCACGTGGGTATTGGGACAAGGAGTTTAATCATGCTGTGTACACATACAGGCACAACACAGTGAGGAACAGCAGGCCTGTTAACAACAATACTCCCCACTACTACAGAGAGGGGTTTTCATCCAGAGATTTCAAAGCACTTCACAACCATGGTGGGAAATATCATTAGCTCTTAGATAGATGGGAAGGAAGGAGGTATGTGGTTGGAGTGTGAGCACACACACACACACACACACTCCCTCTGTCCCCAAACCACCTGCTGATGGTCGGATGGAAGCATCTCTCACCAAAGACCTCTGACTATGTACATAAGAACGGCCATACTGGGTCAGACCAAAAGGTCCACCTAGCCCAGTATCCTGTCTGCCAACAGTGGCCAATGCCAGGTGCCCCAGAGGGAATGAACAGAACAGGGAATCATCAAGTGATCCATCCCGTCCCCCATTCCCAGCTTCTGAACAGAAGTGAGAACAGAAAACTAGCACCATGTTTAGAAAGTTCCCCAGACAAGCAGCACCTCCTCACGTGCCCAGCCTGTGAAACACACTTGCAAATCGAGTTTAATTATAGTTGTCTGTTCTGACCCTCTTGCCAAGGCCTCTTGAACAAATCCACTTCGGCTTCTGTATTTTTATGCATTAAAAAATAAATCAACCTCCCCCCCCCACACACACAAAGCATCAGTGGTGTCCTCGTTTGCAGAGATCAGGTTATGTACAAGTCTGGCTGGGAGGGGGCAGGGACCATTAAATAAACTGGTTAGTAAAATGTTGACCTCAACTAGCTCTGCTGAGATAAAACCTATGTGCCTTTTCGCCACTCAGCCAGCTAGCTAAGTAACTCCATGTTAAACACACCTCGGCTGCATAGGTGCTGACTCTGTGGGTGCTCCAGCCCATAGAAAAAAATTAGTGGGTGCAGCCAGCGCCTCCCATCCACCAGCTGCCCCGCTAACCAACTCCTCCCCATCCCTCCCAGCACCTCCTGCCCGCCACGATCAGCTGTTCCGCGGTTTGCAGGAGGCGCTTGGGAGACAGAGGGAAGAGTGGGGATGGGGCACACATGGGGGAGGGGGTGGAAATGGGCAGGAAGAGGTGGGGCAGGGGTGGAGGCCTGGGGCAGGGAAGGGGGTGGGGGTTTGGGGTCAGATGGGGGGGAGGGGTTTAGAGCACCCACGGGATCCAGAGGAAGCCAGCACCTGTGCTTGTCTGCAGTGAAGACAAAGCCGGAGTAATTTCGGGTCCAGTTTTTGCACAGACAAGGCCAGAGGGTTGCTTTGGCCAGGGGAAAGGCCTGTAGATTGGGTTCTTTGTGTGCACTTGTCTTTCACTGTACCCGATGAGCACTCACCTCTGTTCAGGTTTTCAGGGGCCAAGCTCCACCCTGGGGCAGGCAGGCCACCGCGTTCCCCGTTCGTCCAGACAGTATGATGCAGGCGCGGATGGCAGCTCTGTGGCTAACGCTGCCCCAGGCCCTTCCTTTTAACTATCTCCTTCTGATCCCTCTGGAATACTCTTTTGAAGGATTTGAAATTAGAAATTTGGCAGGTTTGGAGTTTTCTATGGTAATTTGGGGTTTAAATGAGGTAGTTGTTAAATGACAGTTTTTCAGGCTGGTGCGTACACACACGCACACAGTACCAGGTCACCAGAGTGGGTTAGGAACAGATACATAGTGATGCTGGTACAAGCCCCTAGTGCATTGAGGTGCACGTGGCAATAAACTAGACTAGCTGCTGTGTCCACACTAGGGGCTGTGCCGTTAACTACCTCCCAACCCAGCCAAAACAGTTCTGTCGGTAAAAAGACGATCTAGTCCCCAAAACAAAGAAACCCTCCAAAAACATCTAAACCCACAACGCTTGCTCCAGTTGTTCAGACAGGGGATGTGTCTCTTTTGGAGCCCTGTGGGTTCCAGGCCACGGTGAAGCCTCCTCAGAATGCACCACACAGCAAGGAATTCATGCCATTTAGTAAATGGAGTGGAGTGCTCCCCCACCCCCACAGAATGCCCCCTGTGCCAAAGTGAGTTGGCTGGCTCCGCCCATATTGGGTGTGGGAGGTGAACTGGATAATCATATGGAACAACAAATTACTTAGAAACTTTCAGTCCGAGAAGAGACAGGGAGCAATCGCCGTAATTTAAACATTAAAATACAGAAACTCAAACCTCAAACCACCCACCCACCACACCCCACTCTGTCCTGTGCAATCTGACCTGTTTCTCACACAAAACCGGGAAATTCAGTGTGAAGCCGTTTATCAGCATCTACTCACACACCCACAGCTACTCACAAAGACACACATTGTCCACTCCTCTGCAATGCAACCCTACACCGCCAGCCTCCATGGTCACACCCAGGCAGCATGAATTCTCCCAAGGCGGGGAGGAGGAATACACACATCTCCTGGCTAGGAAAGAGCCCAGAGTAATCTACATGCCAGAGAGCCCCACCCCCACACCACTATGTCACATGACCTCGACCAGCTAAACCTATTCATCGGCCAAAAAAAAGTATGTAACCGTTGGAGTTGATGAGCAAACCATCAGTCACCTATTAACGTCTAAAAATAAAAAGGCACAGGACATTGCGGAATATTTGCATGTAATAACTTACTAGAAGTGGAGACCTCAGTAATAAAAAGTCAGAAATTAAGGTCTCGTCCCATAATATGCTACAAAATCAAACCAGCTGATCAGCTAAGAAGTATAAGTTCATATCTACAGCTCAATGCTTTCAGGTAAGTGACATCACTCATCATTATACATCGATTGCTCATCTTCAGCTCTCACAGAACACGAACCACACAGTTCCAAAACTCAGCTCCATGTGCCACATGCTGTCAGAAATAAATCCCAGTAATGTTACTCCGATTGCCAGCTCTTTGGGGAAGGATCTGTGTCTCTGTTCTGGGTTTGTCCAGCACCTAGCGCCTGGGCCACAACTAGGCTCCTTGGTGCTATGGCAAGACACCTAATCAGCAGGCTAGACTCCAAACTGCAAATGGTAGGCAACAGCGATTAATCCCACGGGACAGTGGTGTCAAACAGAGGGCAGTTTTCAGGCTGTCCGAGTGGAACTTTGGGGCCTGTGGCCAAGTAGAATTGATTTGCTTGGGGAACAGAGCGTGAGTTTGAATGTTCTTGTTGATAGAACCATCGAAATGTTGGGCTGGAAGGGACCTCCAGAGGCCATCAAATCCAGCCCCCTGTGCTGAGGTAGGACCAAGTAAATCTAGGCCATCCCTGACAGGTGTTTGTCCAGCCTGGTCTTACAATGCTCCAGTGACGGGGATTCCACAGCCCCCCGGGAAGCCCGTTCCAGAGCTTCGCTACCCTGAGAGTTAGAGAGTTTTTCCTAATATCTAACCTAGATCTCCCTTGGTGCAGATTAAGCCCATTACTTCTTGTCCTCCCTTCAGTGGACATGGCGAACAATTGATCACCTCCCTCTCTGTAACAGCCTTTAACATATTTGGAGACTGATCAGGTCCCCCTCCGTCTTCTGTTCTCAAGCTGTGGGGTTGTGTGTCTATGTTTCACACTATTTCCTAAGGCTGGGGGGGCATGATTAACTTTTACTGGTTTCCCCCCCACCACCACTTTGTTTTTAATATTGGTCCATTGAACCACGTGACGGCAACACCCAAGTCACGAACAGATTGGAGAGGAGTTTCTGCTGTGCCTCCCATCAGCTCTAAGGTCTGCCGGGAAAAGGAACTTGTTGTGATGGTGGGGGTCAAAACAGCCCCTTTCAAGTGATGCTGAAGACAGTTACCCCGCCTACACTGGCAGGGCAGACATTTCAAAGCCATTCTGGGGCCGGCAGAAATAGTTTAACATCTGTTATTAAAACAGCCTCATCTTCCTACTGCAGAGAGCTCCCAAGAATCTCCAGACCACATGGCCCAGGGACAGCGTCACACCCTACACCGAAACCCAGCATCAGGCACAAGCTGATGAGTGCACCAATCCTTCCAGATCTCTGCATACCTTTAAAATGAGGTCCCCCTCGTGCAGCGAGCTGTCCTTGGCAGCCAAGCCTGTCTCTGTTATGTGTTTGATAAAGATCTGGCTTCCCAGCTTCAAGCCGTATTCTGCACCCCGGGGAGAGAGAGACAAGTCAGGTTCAGGAAATGGAACTAGAGAAATACCAGATCTGGGGTATCAGGGAGACAGGTCCTCGCTATGAGCCCACAGTACCCAGCGGGAACCCTACGGCTCCAGCTGTCGTGTTAGCCAGGTCACAAACTCCAGTCACTCAGGCCTGGTGCGCGTACACACATTGCACCCATTTAACTGGCTCGGTTTCTAAATTGATTTAGTTAACTCAGTGCAATGTGGCCACAGACCCAGTGCGTAGAAGTGAAGATATTCCTTCCTATTCCACCCCCCAAGGCATCCCCTCAGCCAGCGAGCCCCCAGACTGCTCAGCCTCGCTGGTGTTAAAGGCCCTTCATTTCTGAGCCCTCAAAGTCATCCTGTTCTGCCCCTCCCGCATGCCAGGCAGCCTCCCCCAGACTATGCAATGAAGAAGGATGGTTCATTCCCACTGGAGGGGGCTGGTGGGGAGAGAATGGGGAAGCTGCCTCTTACCTTCGCCCTCTTTCCGCTTCACCAGAACCGAGCGGATGGGTTTCATTGGAACCTCCTGGCGCGGCAGCCTCTTGAACCCAGACACTAGCGCAAGCCCATTGGTGTCCCCTTCGTGGCCATAGCCGTTGGTGGAGTGTTGTCTATGGTAACTCTGCCTTTCAGAGCCGCTGTCTGGGCTCTGTCTCCTGTGGCTGCCATCTTGGCTCCGCCTTCTGCTTCTGGACACTTGCCTTCGATTGTCATCCCGAGAGTGGCCGGAGCTCCTCTCACTGGAGGAGTCTCCGTCGTAGCCTTTACTGTAATCTGCGTCGTCCTGAGGCCGGCTCCTGTTGTGACTGTCGTACCTGTATCCTTTCCCGGTGCTCCGCGGCGACGACTCGTCTCCCTGGTACCCGTACTCCTCATCAGAATCGTATCGGACGGTGTTGGGAGAGTGCAAGGAGTCGCTGGATAGTGGCTGGCTGGTTTTGGTTACAGGAAGCTGAATTTTCTTTGGTCTCTTCACTGTCTGCAGGTGGGAAGGAAGAAGAATTAGTTGGCAAATGACACGTACTCTGCACTCCCAAAAGAGAGCCACCACTGATTTCAGAGCACTTCACAGAGGGAGAAGAGAGTGTCTTAATTTACAGATGGGGAAAGCCACGGCATTGAGACATTAAGTTATTTGCCCAAGGCCCCATAGCAAGTCAGTGACAGAGCTGGGAGAGAGGAGCTCCCTGGTTTCTATACTAGAAAGTTGTAGCCCTTTAACTATCCTGGCACAGACAAACCGGTTCAGCGCCCCCTCGCGGGAACGCAGTTATGCGGATAGAAAGGTGCTTTGTACCAGTACAGCAAAGGGAAATAACTATACCAGGACAAGGCGCCTTTATACTGATGTAACTGCAGCCACACTGGGGCTTAGCCTGGTGTAACTAGTTCAGTAGTCACACCCCGAGCCAAAACAGTTACACTGGTAAAACTGAAGTGAAGACCAGCCCCACGAGTCCCTTCCTCGAACTCCTATGTGTGTGCGTTGGAGGTGACTGACTAATGGGATCCAGACTGTTCCATGGTTCAACGGGCACAGATAAGAGGGAGATGAGCAAAGGAGGAGCCGCGTCGTCTCAGATTAAACACGGAGGGGACAGGACATGTCAAGAGCCACGTGGTCCCATCTGTTCTTTGGAGAGTAAACAGCCAGACTGAGGAGTGGCCAGTCCCACCAATGCAATGACATATCGCAGACCTCCCGCCTACCTCCACCCTCCCCTCGCCCCTTCCTTCCTCGGCTCATGCTTACGAGCCAACCGTGCCCTTCGCCTCCTTTGCCCCCTCCTGACATTGTGCCTTCCTCCCCGCTGGCTCATGCCTTTGGAACAGCCTCTCGAGTCATCCTTAAAATACACCCTAGGGCCCACCTGATGTATGACGCACTCTGGCCACAGTGACTCCACACTACACTGCTGGTTCTATGCTGGGCTGCTGCAGAGTGTGACGTACCTATTTTCAGATCTGATTACGTACATAGATTTGTAGAGAGATTTGAAAATCCAGCTTGAAACAAAAGTGCGGATGCAGCTTTACTTCCGGTGCTGCTACTCACCGCCCCAGAATGTTTGTAGTTGGCTTTGAGCTGCGATTGCTTACCATTATTCCTAGAGTTATCCTCTTTCACAGTTTTAAAAGTTTGCAAGGAGTTAGTGCCCTGCAATATTTTAAGACGCTGGTTTATTCCTGCGGGTAACTTGCTAGGTTAACAGGGACCAAGACACGCCAATCTAAACAAGCCATGGGGTGGAAGAACCAGGGCTGTTGCTAGCCATGAAATGCTTGGTAGAAGAGGGACCCAAATCCAGCCCTGGTGTAAGTGGATGGGGCCTCACTTATTCAGGGTACATTTGCACTACAGAGTTAACTTGAATTGCTCCTCTCGAGTGAGAGCGGCCACTCTCCAGCTGCTGTGTCCACTGGAATTAACTGTGCTGGGGAGTTGCAGCCAGTTCCATGAGGGCTGCGTTTAACCCAAGGACAGACAAGTGGAACATCCGGGCGGGAAAACTTGCCCCACATCAAGGCTTTACGTTGGACCCTTGTTACCTCTCCTCCCACCCAAGCCAAGTCAGCCCCTCCCAGGCAGGACGCTTACGATGTTGGCTAACTTGCCACAGGTTTTGAGCGTCTGGATGGCAAAGGAGGAGGACACGTTCTCCATGGAAAGGCCGTTCACCATCACAACGTGATCTCTCGTCCTGGAAAGGAAAGACTTGGGTCAGGCAGATCCCTTGCCAGGGCACAGGGGAGAGCTGGATAAGGCTCCCGAGTGGCTAGGAGCAGCCTCTCAGCCTAGGCAAACACCTCCGCAGTGACAGTCTGACCCATGCTTCGCCCCCGGAAATTCTGCTGATGGGGAGCATGTTCATTTGCAGCTCCGCAAAGGCAGGTCCCACCCCAGAAAGGGCAGGAGACCCTCCCAGGTTCAAAGTCCCCATGTCCTCCAATCTGCACCCCCATTGGCCTCTTCCTTCCCCAACTCCACCCCCGAGTCTGCCTCCTGACACCAGGTCAGGAGCCAGCAGCTGGGAAGGCAGATCCCCTCAGGGAGCTAGTGCACCAGGGACCTTCCCAGCAGCTGCTAACTCTCCCCTTCCTCCCACACTAGTGACCCCAGCAGACCCTCCTCCCAACCCCCACGAGGCATGTTCTGAGCATACGACTGGAGCCAGGACCTCCCGGGTTCTAACTGACTCCCTCTCTGACCTTCAGCCAATCACACCCCGCTCTGTGCCTCAGTTTCCCCAAGCGTTTGAAGTGTTGCTTCCTCTCCTGAGTAGAGGGGGACCCGGATCCAAGACACCCCAGAACTTGGGGAAGTTTGGATCCTCTCTTTGCTCATAACACTTTCCTCAGTGAATCCTTCCAGCCCCGTCTGCCACTCACTGGAGCCTGCCATCTGCTGGTCCACCAGGTACCACATCTGAGACCACGATAGAGGGGTCCCCAGCCAAGCCGCTGGGACGGTCCCTGCCTCCTGAGATGGCGATGCCAAAGCCCCTTCGAGGGTCCTAGTGCGACAGATACATACAAGATCAGGCTCTGCACAGCGGGTACCGGCTGCAGATGGAAGGAGGATGGGCACGGGGGGCAGGCAGGCATTTCTGAGTGGCAGCTAAGCATCGCTAATGGCACTGCTGTAAGCCACTTCCCTGGCAGGCCAGTCGCATCGCTGCCATGAATGGCGGGATCCAGCTGGCGCAGTACCACAAGGAAGCTCATACTGCTGGGGGGCTGCTTGGCGCTGGCCAGACACTTCTAGGGTCACCCCAGCTGGCTTGCGCTGCCAGGCTGGCGTTAGCAGGGCCCCATTAGGAAGCAGCTCATGCTGCCAGGAGCCCAGTCACAGCAGAAGGCAGAGGGCCCCATTCAGGAAGCTCGGCTGAACCTCAGTGTCGCCACCCACGATTAAAGCCCCAACGCCCACCCGCCCGGACGGAGACGGCGCAGTGCACAAGCTCACCTTGCTCAGCATCACAGTGTGCTGCTCCCAGATGACCATCTCCTCCATGGCTGTAACCTGGGAGCCCGGGGGAAAAAAGGACGGTCAATTAACAAAATCCGATTGTTGCCCCAGTCTCCAGAGAAGGGGGAGGGGTGGCCAATTTGCTCCTGTCACTTCTCTAGACCCCCAGAGATCTGGGCATACTAGAAATCACTTCTAGCTGCAAAGAAACAAGCTGCCTTTTTCCAAACGAGGTAACGTCCTCCTCCCACCTAAACCCACCCTTAAATAATAGACTTGCCTCTGCAGCTGCAGAGAGAGCATCTCCCATTAAGGGGGTGTCCAGGCCACTGGGGTAAGTGCACTACAAACAGACAGCAACTCTCAACATAGAGGTCACCAGCAGGCTCATCGGAATGCAATGAGAGCGAATGAAGCCAGGGAAGCAGTGTGTGTAATAGTTACAGCAAGGGACCGAAACACTGTAAATCACGTCATTAACCCGTGCCTCGGTTTCCCCAAACTGAACAGGGATTATACCAGTCTACATCAACAGGGGATTAGAGAGGTTTCTTGGTGTTTGTCGAGCGTTTAGGGAGAAAGCTTCGTCATTAATTTCTGGAACCCGATACCCATAATGGTTCTGTTTAAAAGGGTCCAGTTTAGTCTGCATTGTGGATTACACTCGGTGAGACAGACTCAGGATTAGAGCCCTGCAAATCTGGATTGTCCATCAGAAGGGACCAGTGGGAGCGGAGAAAGAAAGCTGAAGGAGGGAAGTGGCCAGCCAATTTCACCAGGACTGCGTCTACTTATTGTGAAAATCAGCATTGCCTCCCCAGAGCCGGTAGCTGCACAAGATACAGTCAGTTCGCTTACACACGGGTCCATGATTTGAACATATCTATTCAAATTAGGAAGAAGGACCTAGTTTCTACAACATGCCTGGCCCTCTGGATGTTTGCCTATCAAAAGACAACAATAAGTGCTTGTCAAGGTTCCCTCCCCACTCTGAACTTTAGGGTACAGATGTGGGGACCCACATGAAAGACCCCCTAAACTTATTTTAACCTAAGCTGGTAAACAGTACGCTGCCACCACCAAGCGTTAACCAAATATTTAGGGAGAGCCACTTGGAACTCTGCCTTCCCCCAAATATCTCCCAAGTCCCTAAGCCCCCTTTCCTGGGCAGGCTTGAGAATAATCCTCCCCAAACCCCCACACCCCTTTCCCTGGGAAGGCTTGAGAATATCACCTCACCACTTAGTCCTGGTGAACACAGATCCAAACCCTTGGATCTTAAAACAATGAAAAATCAATCAGGTTCTTAAAAGAAGAATTTTAATTAAGAAAAAAGGTGAGAGGAGTACCTCTGTGAGATTAGAATGAAAGATAATCTCACAGACAATCAGATTCAAAACACAGAGGGTTTCCCTCTAGGCAAAACTTTAAAGTTACACAAAGAACCCAAATTTACCCTCCCTCTTATTTGCAAAAGAACTCACAAATAGAAAATAAAAGTAATCTAACCATTCCTTCTCTAAATACTCACAACCCTATGGGAGTGGGTTGGCTCCTTCTTTCTCTGCCTCCAGCAAAAGCACACACCCAGCACAGACCAAAGACTTTTTTCCCCTTCCAGATTTTTAAAGTATCTTGTCCCCTTATTGGTCCTTCTGGTCAGGTGTCAGCTAGGTTATGGGAGCTTCTTAACCCTTTACAGGTAAAAGAGGAATTAACCCTTAACTGTATGTTTATGACAGTGCTGATACCACCTTTTCCATTCACAGAGCTCACTACTCATTCACAGCTGGGGAAGCTGAAGTGCAGAGCAGAGATGTGACTAACCCCAGAGCACATGGAGTGACAGAGCCCGGCACAGAACTTAGCCCCATACCCTGGCCCTGCTGAACAGCGGGAGGAGGCCAGTGATCCAAGAACAGGTAAGAGCAGAAGCTGCATGGTTACTTATTGCTAAACAATTCACGTGGGCACTTGAGAATTAAGCTGTGCCACTCCGAGGAGGCAATGCTAGGGATTAGCTAGCAGAGCACACGGTGGGTGACCCTCCTTGCTATCCCTGCTCACGCCTCCCCTTCGTGTTCCTACAGAGGGTCTTAAACACTCCAGCCCAGCAAGCTGAATCCCTGGAGGAGGCACGTGGGGCTGGCTTGGCGTGGAGAGCAGGGCACACCCTGACCACCTCCACGGCCTGCCCTCTGGGGAGCTGGAGAACTCAGCCCTTGGCCAGGACACAGACAGGAGCTTGTTCTGAGTCAGTCGGCTGCCAAATGCTGGAGAAGACGCGGTACACCCCGCAACTGCCCCAATTAGGAACCCAGCTCAAGTGGACGCAGCCGCATCAGAGCCCCAGGCGGGCGGCACGTGAGTCACCTCACCAGCCTTTCCTCTCCAGGGATTCGAGTGCAAGCGTCTGCAATCCACGTCCACATCCACATGGAAGCAGAGGGGCTTCTAGCCAAAATTAAACACCTGCCTCCCATGGAGACAGCGATTAGGAGTCAAAGACCCACAAATGCTGCGCTTGCAGTTACTGTAACCCACGGAGTTTAGAAACGCTGCATGTTATGAGCCTCACCTCCTCCTTGGCCTGCACAGGGGTCAGACCACACCAGATACAGCCCACCAGCTATCACATGGGTCCATGGTTTTGAAGTATCTATGCAAATTAGGGAGGGGAATCAAGTTTATCTACAGGTCAGCCAATCTGCAAGGACCTATGACAGTTCCTACTGCATGTCGAACTATCAAAGGACAACAACATATAATGAGCACTGGTACAGCATTTAATAACCTATAATTTACCATTTAACAACATATAGTAAGTGCTTATACAGCAGTTTCCAATCATAGACTTCAATAATAATAATATCACCCGTTTACAGATGGGGAAACTGAGGCACAGAGCACAGCCGCGACTGATCCCAGAGCACATGGAGTGACAGAGCCAGGAAAGAACTCAGGTCCCATACCCTAGCCCCTGCTCCCCAGTGCACTGATGCACAATTAAGCAGGGTGAGGTCTGTGATCCAAGAAAGGGAAAAGCAGAAGCCTGCATGTTTTCAGCCTGGTTTCAAGTACTGCGCAGACTGTGGATTCTGAGTGAGCAGGCCATGCTCCAAGGTCATTATGAGGCACCTGCAGTCTCAAAACGACCGGAACTAAACACCGTGCAGTTCAGATCTTGATGGACAGCTCGGTGTCTGAGAGGTAGGGAAGGATCAGCGATCGATCAAGTAGCCCAGACCAGACCCCTCCGAGGGTAGGACTGTCTGTCGGGGGCTGGGGACCGGACAAGCAGGGGGCGCTGCAGGGGGTGGGGTACATTGGCAGAGCCGGGTGGAAAATGCTCTCCCATTGTGCCAGCTCCAGCCACCACCAACCCCACGATTTTGAGCATTAACAGCCACCCCCAGAAAGGGGTGAAACCTAGAGACCTCCCAGTCCCTGCTCCTCCTCAGCAGCAGTTTTTGAACAGCAGGCACCACCCTCCCAGCACCTTTGTCCCCTCAGTGAAAAAAAACACCAGCAGCATCACCTGGGACTGGGCACATTTCAGTGACCACCAAGGCCCTGGCTCTGCCCCAGGTAGGGTTGCCAACCCTCCAGGATTGGCCTGGAGTCTCCAGGAATTAAAGATTAATCTTTAATTAAAGATTATGTCATGTAATGAAATCTCCAGGAATACAGCCAACCAAAATTGGCAACCCTAGCCCCAGGACTGCGTCAGTGGAATGACACCAGAGTAAGAGTGGAGGCTCAGGCCCGAAAGCCCTTATCAGTGTGGAGAAAACCACTCACAAACAACCCCCCAACCCAAGCAGGTCAGCTGGGCTGAACATCCCTCAGCGGAAAGTGTATCTGTTGGCAGGACAAGAGGCATTCCACACCCCAAGAGGAGGAATCCTGAGCAGGAAAGACATGCAGATGCCCAAAGAAGGGAACAGCCAAAACATGGTGTAACAAAAAGGACAGGCGGACAAAAGACTCGGGGAACTGGAGAGAGGGTTTGAAATCCACAAGCTGCAGAGACTGATCAAACCAGTGATTCCCAGGCCTGGATCAGCTTGCTTCCTTCTGCAGAGCTAGTACCGTCAATAGTGAACAGGCCAGGCCCTGCAGTTGCTGCATTGCAGGGTACACAATTAGAGAAGGGAGCAAGCCATATTTAAAATACCCCAAAAGTTTGAGGGATCTCTGATTCAGGCCCCTCTCTAGCCAAACCTTCCGTCTGCAGGGGAAATTATGCATCAGGTGGAATCCCTGGGTTCGGCAGACAGCGCATTCCCCACAGCACAGGATTTCTCAGAACAGCTGGCGTATCAAAGTAGTAAACACAATCTGACAAGGAAGCAAAATACCCCCACCCAAGCCTGGATATGCCTGAAAACCAATGTTTGCAGGTTACAGCACGAGACGCGATAGGACGGTGCAGCTCCAGGCAGAGCGTGTCTGCACCGTGCACAAAGCCAGTCCTGGTCCAGTGAGGTCAGAGGGGGTTTTTTGCCATTGACTTTAACAGGAGCAGGATGGGCTGTGTGCAGCCTCTCCTCAGAATCAGCCTGATGTTTGCATCTCCTTCCCTCTTGAACTAAGTTGCTGGTTCAGATCTCAGCCAGGCTGGGAGTGAGCAAAAGCTGCTGCCATTGGCTTGGATAAGATTGTTTTCTTAGCCTAGAATTGCTGTCCTTTGAACAGGCTGCTGCAGAACTGGAGCCAGATAAACCCCATTTCTCCCTTCAGATTGTTCCCCTGCCCCACGACGGCTGTTACCACGCACAGCACTCGCAAAGCTACTGGCCCAGGAGCTGCTTCACCGCACGCACACACCTGCTGGGGAAAGAGACTTGCCTGAAATCTTACAGCCATATTCCAGAAAGCCCCAGGCTGCTGGCTGCTCCCATGGGCAGGGCTGGCCCTGGGATGAAAGGGTCCAGGAGCTCCCGGTAGCAAGGGAGACGACCTGTGCGGAGCAGGTGTGCAGAGGCCGACAGATTCTGTGGCCAGCTGCAAGGTTCAGGCACTTTACAATCAGCTCTTCCTTCTCCC